GTGTCAGCGTGAGTTCACGTGTGCTCCTCTCACCGTAGTGTGTTTGGGATGAACTTGGGTGGTGGTGGGGGGGGGGGGGGATTAAAGAGCAGTGTGAAAGCAGGTCAGCCGGCGGACAGAGATAACAGGATATCAGAGAGGAACACGCAGCATCGACGGGCATTTGATCCCATTGATGAAGCGTTTACTGACTCTGCTGTGCGAGGTCAACAAATGAGATCAGCGGGTCACTGGGATTTGGTGATGCTTTTATACTCTGTGATTTCTAAGAAGCTTTTTTTCTTTGTTTGTGGAGAGTATAAAATAGCTCGCACCGAGGGGCTGCGGGATGAGCTTTTATGGTCTCATTCAGAGTGAGAGTGTAAGGTCAAAGAGGTGCGCAGATAAACATCCACACGTGCTGTTTGTCTCTTTTCTACGCTGCAATGTGAAGCTCATAGGAGGAGAGAGATTTACGTCAACTGTTTAAAAGCTGAAGTGCAGACTTTACAAGACAATATTCACAATGCATGAAGAAAACGATCTTTTTAAAGCTTCTCTAAATCCTGCAACAAAGTGGATGGCTACATTAAGATAATCACTTCAAAGCATGTATGATTCATCAGACCAGTATCTGGAATGTGTTGCAGACCACTTTCAAGCTTTTAATGGATGACTTAAATGAAATGTTCTGGCTGTTTAATGGTAACCTTACCGTCTGCTAATTGTCGGCTGGTTTAACGGCTGCTGCTGCTGGTGAATTCAGGATGTTTAAACGTTTCTGTGCACCGCTGGGATCGTGCCCAACTGATGATTTAAATGGAGGCGATCTAAAAATCCATATATGACTGTAGGGGGGCTTTTAGTTGTCCGGAGGCAGAGAGCGGTCGGAAAAGGCTGATCTCACATGACCCATGTCTGGTCAGGTTAAAAGCTTTGACTGGACAGGCCGCATCGGATTTTCAAAATCTGGATCAGCAGGTTGAGACCTCTCCTGAGGGAAATGTTCAGCGAGTATGACTTAATACAAAATGGAAAAATAAAAAAAGGAGAACACATTTTTCATGATTCAAATGTCACAAAGGATGTTCAAAGATTAGAAGATAAATGTTTGAAATGTTCTTAACTCGAGAAAAACAGCAAACAGTGAAGGCCAAACAGAGTTCATCAAGAATGGGTCACACAGCTTCTCGAGTATTTCCATCCATCCGAGCGTTACCAGAACACAAGCTGATGTTTTGTAGGGTACATGCAGAGTTTGAGATATTTATCTATCTACAAAGCAATTTTTCAAAACATTCTAACAAAAGTTGTTCTTATCTTTTTTAAAAGCTTAAATGGTTTAGTTTACATTTTCTATAAATAAAAAAAAGAAAAGGAAAGAGGCAACACTCTTATTTAAAATTTTCATTAAAATCGACTGATGTCTGTGAAATTTGGAAAAGTTGTTCGGTGCACTTCCTTGGTCCTGGCATGGATAGAATAAAAGGACTTTGGCCCGGTACAGTTGCACAAGCACAGGCATGCAACATGGACATGAAGTGTAATCGATCCCCACCTTCTTATATAAAGAAAAGTGTTTTAGCTGTATCTGACCAAAATAAGCCACAAAGTCAGTAAAGTTACAGTCATGGTTTCTGTGTTTGTTCTCCGACGTCCCTTTTTTGGGGGAGAGAGTCTTTGTGTCTTGTAAGCAAAGCACACTTCATGATCATGTAAAACCATGCATGTGTTGTATGACAACATTATATACAAGAGGTAACCGTGCTCAGGCAGTGTGAGTGCAGGCAAGAGGGGGAGTGGGGTGGAGGGGGCAATCACACTTAAGATAAAAAGATAAGTGTAGACTTCAAAAAGATTCAGTTTTTTATAAACAGTATTTTTCTTAACATTTTTTTCATCAATAAGGAAAAATAACTCTGCAATTGTTTGGATATTTGATGAATCTTTTGTCATTTTTCCAGCAAAATTGCCAATTATTGTCTGATTAAGATTCCTAAATGTGACAAAACCGTCTAAGCTTCCTCGGATGGGAAATGACTCATAATTCTAGTTTTTTTGCCATTTCTAAGATCGGTCAATTTGAAAAGATCTCCCAAAATAAATGTAATGATGAATAATTGTTGTAGCCGAAATAAAATTAATCATTCACCATTTATTCTTGATATAGTGGTCAGGCTGAGCACACAGGTTAGAGATTAAAATTTAAAGTTTTTACCTGAATGATTCAGGTTCAACCATTTATTTTGAGTTTGTTTTTGTTTAGTTCCATGGGAGGTGTGCAGTGATTTTTACTCAGTGCATCATGTTGAAGGATTGCACATACAGTATGAAGTGCTTATGCAGTTCAAGTTACATGACAGTTTTGTGCATTGACACAATCCTTTCAGTTAAAGTGCGAGAAATATTTCCGCTGAGCCTTTATCGGTTTTCTGCAGCGTGCTGAGGAGAATATTGAATTTTTTTGTTTGTTCATACTGGAAAGACAAACTCTGCATGAATGCCACGCTCAATAAAACAGAGAGAGAGAGAGAGTGTGTGTAAGAGATGTGCACTTGACTGTCACACACAAACCCAGAGATGGAGGCACTTAAGCCAGCCCACTCAGATGTTACAGTTTGCAAAGGCGGACGGAACACGCCATTACACAGCGATCACAGAGTCTCAGCAGGGTGTTAGTGCAGTCGTCACCCTGTCAGTGGATTGTATCCTTGGAAATGCATGCAGACAAGGGGCGGCAACATCTCCAACGTATTTGATGTAACCTGTTATCTAACGTGATGTTTCACACTTTGAGGACATGGATGTAAAAGAGATTTTATACATACCTACACATTCCTGTTGAGCATCTTTTCATCCTGCAGCCTTTTGTTTCACTTCAGTCAACCTGTAAAAACTTGTTGCTTTTACATTATCCATCACACTCAACATAAAGTCAGCTTTAATTTTTATCCATTACAACAGACTGAATGTCTGAGCTGCACTGAGAGGCAACTGAACTTTGACAAAGAAATCAAAGCAGACATGAGGTTCATTGAGATGGATTGGCTTTCTGCATTTCATTTAACATCACCTGCACATAAAAAAGAGTGGAGGAGTCAGTGAATGTACTGTAGGAGAATTATATTAACAGTGAGTGAAAGTGTAAAATGCGAAATATCTGTTCAATTATGTAATGTATGTTCTTGAAAAGCTATGAGTACTTCACAATGACTGTATAAAACATGGACGTAGTGTCAGTGAAGTCACCCGTTGGTATCTCAAGAGGCGTTATGAAGCTTGAACAATGGTGGTATCCATATTGGAAACGCTATCTCAACTTAATTTTTGATGAATCTTGCAAAAGGCAAAGAGCTGGAACAGAGATGGGCCAGAAGCCTCCTGGCTAAACAGCTTCAATGCACCAACCTTAGCCCACTCAACCATGTCTCCAGTTATGGAAGTGTATGAAAAGCTCTTAGCCTTTATATGAACAAAACGGACAAGTTATTAAAAAGTTCAATCCCTGTACAAATTTTGCTAATAAAAAAATGACGAGGCCAAAACTTTTTTTTTTTTAAACAGACTGTGAAAAAGGTTCACTGGCATTTTAATAATGAGCCCTACGAGGGAGTCCTTTGCTTTTATCACCAGTCTCAAGTGGACACTAAAGGAAATTAATTTTTTTTGCACCTTCACTTTGGCTTCATTTTTTAACAAGCAAGGATACTTTTGTACTTCCTGAATTACTGTAATGTAGGAACTCTATTTGGAAGGGTTACCACAGGCATGGCATGGACATACGTCTTCAATGAATCATGTAAATAGCTTAGTAAAATAATGACTACTTTCTACTTATGTTATTCTTAAATAACAATGAATCAATGCACCAACCAGCAATGTCTCATTTGTGACTTACAATTTTACATTTTTTAATTGATGCCACTTAAATTAAAGAAATAAATGGCATATTTAGGTTCTGATTAGTCCATCAATTCTTCTATATACAGTAAGTTTGCCTTAAAGTATTTCCCAGTTTTTTGTAAGTCACTCATCACAATCCACTGTATTGCACTTCTAAAAGTTACCGTAAAATCCGGAATATAAGACGCACCCTAAAAAAAAGTTGAAACTGTTTTCCTGCGTGACGATTTATATTGTGTTCAGCGATGTCTACAGCGTGCATTTTCCGTGCAGTTGTGTCGCTCTTAAAGTCCCGTCTTTTTTCACGTTCGGGAGTTTGCGCTCCCACTTGCTACAGTACGGTAGTTGAGTTCTCAGCCTGCAGGGAAAGTTGTGACTTGTGAGGCACGGACTCCTAGCTTGCGAGTCGTTCTGCCCGACTCCGCTCGTCACTCTTTAACTTTAATATAGGAATCTTTCAATCAAAAGAACACTCCACAAGGTTTATTTACGGAACAATATATGAATAACTCCTACCATACATTGCCCATCCTACCTGAATGAGAGTTCCTTTTTTTAAATTTTCTTCTTTTGTTGTTTTTAGCCGTGGATGCTTGTATGTGTGTGCACTTTAAGGTGAAGCCAAATAATTTTGTTGTACAATTGTATAATCACAATAAAGACAATCTATTCTATTCTATTCTAATATACCACTGTTTCTGTAAATGCATGATTATGACCTCGTGAGGGAGTAAAGTCGCGCTGCCAGCCCAAGACTGTATGTCAGTAGCTTGGTCTGTGTCGCTGTCTTTCCCAGCACAGCGTGCACTCAGCTTTCAATACATGATGAATGGGAAAGGGTTTTTAATCACGTCAGGTCGCAGTGATAGGGGCTGGTCGCACCGGTGTATAAGACGCAGCCAACTTTTAAGACAAAAAAATAGGTATTAAAAGTACATCTTACACACCGGATTTTACGGTACTCAGGAACAACTCCTTGTTGGGTTAGTGGTGGATGGTAATCTCAAACTAAACCACAAAAACATATAACAAGCAACATTTGAGTTACCACAAGAATATTCCCAGAGGTTTTCACATGTAATGGTTCATGAAACCTGGTCTTTGTTTTTGTCTTTCAGATTTACGAGCAGGACGACCTTTCAGAGCAGATGGCCAGTTTAGAAGGGCTGATGAAGCAGCTTAACGCTATCACTGGCTCCGCCTTCTAACCTCTGATCCCAGCCCAGCCCTCAGCTATGGTCCAGTCTTGAACCCTTCTTCAGGCCTTGATGTCATCTGTTGCACATTCACGCGGGACAGCAACAGGTCAATCTGGGTTTGAAGATGCCTCTGTGGAATCAGACCTCCATCTGTGCTGGGTTGAGTTTGTTTGGTTTCCTCTGGTCTCGACCAGTTTTCACTGTGTGGGAGCGGGGTTTGGATAGAAGGGAAACAGAAGATAAACACTACAGCAGCACAGCATCAACTCTAAGAACAGGACAGAGCTGGAGGGGCTTCATTGGGAGTTCAAAGTGAAACCCCACTGGACTCTTCAACAAACACACAACTAGACAAACCCAATGCCTAGCGCCTTGACTAGCTGACACAGGATGACGGGATTATCACAAAAAAAGAGACAGTTAATAGTCCCCTCCTGTTTCACTTCTCTGTGGTATTTATTAGCGTTCTTCTCCGCTGGGTTGTCCACAACTCAGTTACTGTGACTGTACCTCACTTCTTTTCACGACCGCTATTGGAAATATTCCTTTCGTCTTTTATTTTTTGTTTGGGTGTTCCAGCTTTGTGCAGTCATCGGGTGTGAAATTGGTTTGAAAATGCTACCAGAGCCTGCTCCAAGACTTAGAAACCACATTCTCAGCCACCAAAGTTTCACCGATCCTTTTTTTTCTTACTTGGATCTGAGGTAGTCTGTTGTGGTGACTTGGCACGATCCTTACCGGTATTTCCTATTTTCCTCAATAGCTGTCGTTTTCTTCTCTTCAACAAACGAGTACAATTTCACTCAAAAGAACATGACCCACAAGTAAACCCCTGTCACCTCTGGATCCTGAGTTTGAAAGAAACAAAAAGGGATTACATTTTTTATTTTTTTTGCCGGACAGAACAAAGTGTGAGGACCTACTGGACCAGTCTGAACAATATGGATCTGAATCCAGCTGACTCTGCTCTTACAGGACTGTACAGAAACCTCCTTAGACTCCGGCAGTCTGTTGCTGCTCTTGACCAAGCCTTTACTCGCCCTTTCCCATATGAACTTGAATCTTTGCCAACAAGGACTTGCATCGTTGCCAAATTCCCATCCTCGGAAACTAATTGTAATCGTCATTATTTTTATAGTCCTTGTTCAAGTCAGTCTTAACCCCAAAACATGGGATTGAAGTCAGCAAAAGCATCATCTGAGTGGACCAAATGTTACAAAAAAATCTGAATTTGTGAGGACCCATCTCATCCCGGAAGGATAAAGTTAGGATTTGGTACGTAGTGATTGATCCTTTTGACAAACTAGACCGATTTTGGTCTTAAGTTAGCTGGTAGCACTGTAGGTATGAAACATTGAGTCGTCTGAGCACTCAACATCAGTCTCAGAAATTGAGGTATCTAGTGAGGTCTGTGCTTGATTGCTTCTTGGGCACCTGCCAAATGTGTTCGGGAAAAAACAAAAAAATTACCCTCGTGGAAGCAAGGTTGATACTACAAATTATAAAGAGCACTGCAAAAAATTAAAACGAAAATTAAAGCAGTTAATTGTCCAACATTTACACCAAATTCCGGAGAGCAAATTCTAGCGCTCTTGCTACCTGGTAACAGATTTGGCAGTACCGAAATGAAAAAACAACTGGGTCAAGAATCAAGCTTTGATTATAATTACTGGGATAAGAGATGGTAGTGGGTGGCAGATGATGATGATACTGAAAATGATTTCTACCATTATTTATTTTTTCACCTGCGTGTTCATACGTGTTTGACTGAAGGTGTGTGTGTTGTAGTTGGACTAACTTTTGAGGAATCCATGTTTATTTTCTCTAAGACACACATGTACCTCCGTCAACCCAGATCTCCCACATGGGATGTTTGCAAAACCGCCACCTACACTTTGAGTTTACTTGAGGATGTTTATACAAAAAAAAAGGAAGAAAAACAACTTAAACTTGACAAAAAAAACTACATATGCTGCAAAGTATATTTTTACATCTGCTGTTTGTTCAAATTTAGTTTTTTTAATTGAGTTATTTTTAAAACACGTTTCTACAGAACTTCTCTGAAGGTCATGAGCCACCATGAACATTTAAAACCCGACAGCCTTTGAACACATGAAACAAAACGATGTTTGATTCAAACAACATTTAAGTCCGGTATTAACTGCTATGAAGCAACTCTTTTGTGCCACTTTTACTTTATTTTCTTTTAAAAAACAGAGGGAAGAATGGTTTGCAGAAATGATATGAAGACTGCAGCTTTTTGGTTTCATGATAATAAAACACAAGGCCAACATGTCATAGAACATCTGCAAATAAACTGGATTGGACACAGCAGCAAGAGACAATGGGGGAGAATTGGTGTGAGAATGAAGAGGATGTTAAGGAAGGCTTCATTTTTGTTTTATCTTCTTTAGGGGCGTGTCCAGACTTTTATGAACCAGATGGCCCAACTCAGCACTGACTTTTGCAGGGGTAGCATGTTGTAAACATACAAAACAGTAATTTAACTTCTCAATCTCCACTTGTCATATCTACGTTTAAGTAACAATTGAGAATGGCAACATATATGTAATCTTAGATGAATTCTTTAAGAATTTGGCGTACTTAGAAGTGTGCATGTAAACTCGCTGCACAACGTCTAACCTCCAAAATGTGCTACAGCTACAAGCAGCCTGTTGCAACACAGCCTGGATTGATTTCCTCTGTCACGGAAATTAGCCAAACAAAGTTCAAGATTTTAGAGTGGCACCTTGGGTGGCCAACCAGATTTCAAGGGGGGCACACTCCACCCGTCTGGATACGCCTCTGTTCTTAAAGAAAACATCTTGAGACAAAATAGATTAGTGAGACGTTGAAGTATAGCAGAATGAGCATGGTGAGCAGAGAGTCATCAAATCGGGTTTCAGGATAATTAATGGTAAAAGATCATATTTTCATACCAATGCAGCAACCCATTATCAAAGTATGAGTGCTCAATTAAGCACATTTCTAAAATCCAGAAGGATAGATATGTTAAAAATTTGACTTTGAATTTGAGGTATAAGGCAGAAATGTGACTGAACAGGTTTTGCCGTTGGATATTTTTTAGAGTGTGCATGAAAGCCAGGAACTTAAAATGACAAATGATTCATTAATCAGCTAAGGGGGAAAAACAGGCCATCAGTATGCTCCATATTTGACTGTGTCACCCAAGTCACCATATTGTAATTTTCAGACCTTTATCTTTCTGTGATGAAAGGAGAAAAGCCCGAGGGAGGCAGAGAGAGGGGAGGCAGAGGAGGTGAATTGATATTCAGAGGTGGTTTGTATGTGCGCGAGAGGGCACAGAGGAATGAGGCCCGGAATTCATTATAAAGCCGTTTCAAATATTATGATTCAAGCTCACGCTCGCTGGGTCGTTACAGCGGTGGGGAAAAGTCGCAGGGACGGAGGGGATGGAAAGGTAACGTCTCTGTAGAACGAGCACAGGGATGAAAGGTGAGGGAATGCAGGCGGGCCGGCGGAGTGGGGATCAAACTCATCAGCCTTTTCTGGGAGATACATCCAGTCCTAGCCGAGTGCTTTCATTCAGCTCAGAGCCGCACGTCTTCTCCTTCGTCGGAGAGCAAAGACAGATGGAATAATCCAACTCAGCCAAGCGAGACTGAAATTTGATTTTAAGAAAGGAAATCCGATTTGAGCATTTAATGCCAAGATACATGTTGACAGAAGACATGTTTCCTTTTGACTGTCAAAGAGTTAAGCTGATGAAATCACAGTTTAATATAAACTGTAATATATCATTTAAGTGCTACTTTCTTCTAAATCATCTATTCGTTTATCAATTGATTCCTCTGGCAGCCATTTATTTTGATGATTTATATCAAATTGACTTGCAAAGACTTCAAACTCACCCTGGATCCAGACCACCCACATCCCAATTTATTGGTTGGATTAAGAGTTGCTACATCTACAGAGCCAAAAATGTAATGTTGACAGGCGTGTATGAGATAAACTCAACCATACAGATTCAACAATCTTTTGACAACTTCAAACACCTACGATTTCTGCTCCTAGCGATCATTAAGTTAACAGATGTGTCACTTTCCTCTGATTGGGTCGGCAAAGCAGCACAGCATTTAAAGAAATGTAGACTCATAACTTCCTGCGGATTTAATCCAACATATGCAACATTTAGGCAACATCATCATCAACTGACAGGAGCAACTATTCTGTCATTTGGGTTTGAGGTTGGCCTGACTTCTGAGATTGAAGAGTTGGCTACTCAACCAATAGATCTGAACCTTTGAGCTCTTTAAGTTACATCATCTTGTTGCCTCCTCTCTTCTGCAGAGGTTTCATCACACCTGGTTTTGAGAATTAGAGCCCTCAACTTCTTATCCTAATGCTCCGAAGCACACAAACCAATAAATATCAATTATTAACCTTAATGGTCGGTTTTGACATAAGTCCCGCCTCGGACAGGGCAAATAGCCAATAAGAGTTTAGAATTTTGGGGTAGGCACCTGAGGTGGCCAATCAGATTTCAAGGGGGGCCCATGCCACCCTTCTGGACACGCCCCTGTTCAGTTGGTTAAGGAAATGCTTTGAGTTCTTTGTGGTCCGATATGTTCCTCCAACTGAGTCTTGAGTACCTCATGGTTGAAATTAAATACTGATCCTGATTGGAAAAAGTTCAATATGTCTTTTCCCAGAGCATACTCAGTTTCTCTTTTTGGGTCCAAGATGTGGTATGTGAAAACTCTTAATTTAATGTCCTTGCAAGTTGATTTTGATAGAATGAATTGTAACAAGTTGCTGCCTGAAAAGAAGGAATCTTTTTTTAAACGTGGAAGATTTGGAAAATGATCAGAAGTATGCAGTACGGTGTGCTCAAACATGAATGGCAACAATTCAATTTGGTCCAGTTTATTCCGGAGATTTGATGATAGTCACATTGAGATATCAGCCAGGCGTTTTCATCCCTGCTTCAGAATTGGCTGATTTAATTGATTATTGGAATCAGTACAACAGGTTGATTGCAAATGGCCCCCAAAAAGAAATTGGCTTAGCGGACAAATATCTGGAAACACAGATGTTGGCAGCCATTGCAGATCGCCAAAACTATTCGGTTAGGTCTAATAAAAGTCATGGCTCAATAAAATATAACTTAAACTGGTTTCATCTGCTGGGTAAAAATCTTGTGCTTGACCAACACACCGACCCCCCCTAACGTTCACCATTGGCGGACTTTCTTGCTCTTTATGCTACATTCCCAGACTTCTTGTTTTGCTATCATCATGCATATGTCAGCATTGGTTAAAAAGCGTACAAAAAAGCGTAAACAGACAACTATTACATCCACACTTTTGGGAAGTTGCTCCGCTAATTGTACTGGTATCTTCTATTTATCTGAACAGAGAATTCATCATCACTTATGAATGAAAAACCCAAGGTATGTTCCTGTTCCTGAATGGTCATAAACACCAGCTGACAGTCTCTGAAACAATCATTTTCAAGTGTCAATCATTTTATTCATCATGTTTCATCAGTTTTTCAGTTTTTGTTGCCGTTGAGATAAATAAGACATCCTACGTGCCTTTACTTTTCACCGTTCAATATTTGTTCTTCCTCTGTGTTTAGTCATTTTGTTTGAAGTCTTTGTGAAGCGTTAAAATGTGCTCGTGTGATGTTAATTTGTCCGTCCTCACAGAGGGAACAGCCCGTTCTCCTAAAGGTCTTTAAACAGAGAGGACTCAGCACTGTCTGAGGACAGGTTTTTTTTAACTTCAGTATCTGCAACATTTCAGGTGCTGTCTGTTCAAAGACACATCAGATATGATAAATCCAGTGATGATAAGCATCGCTCTGATGCTGACAGATGAACAATCGGTTCCACAAAACTACCAATGTGTCCATCAAAATGTCTTAAAGCGAGATGTTAAATTCCCCACCCGCTCTTTGAGTTACAAAAAAAAAACTATCCAGATCCTCCGTAATCATTCCTCAGATTAATTTCTACTAAAACGACAATGAAGAAGTTTAGTGAGAGTACTGAGCACCTGATAGAAACAGTTTTCGCATCCTCCCAAAATGAAAAATACACAGAAACAAAACATTCTAATATAAAGCAACATTCGATTATCAACGTGAGTAAAAAACAAAGTATCCAATTTTTGTGTATACAAATGGACGGCGCCTCGGCCTCCTCCTGTTGAACAGGATGAAGCCAAAATATCCCCTCAACTTGTGCTGACATATAACGAATCAGCAACCAGAATCTGCAGAGTATAGGGTTAGGCTGGAATAGCCTTTATGTTGATGTAACTCCTCTTTCGTTTTCTCTCGCCATTTCTGCTGTACTCACTCGCCAATACGGTGCACAGAGCGCCGCAACAGACCGTATTCATCAACAGAGCTGTCAATCATTTTATAGCATCGAAGAAATAATCATAAGGAAAAGTCTCTTCCCCAAAAAATGGGGTTGCAACAACCATCATGATGAAACCAGGTTTGAGAAAAATCAAAAAGTGAAACCAATGTGGGTGGGGTTTATGACCTATACTGCAGGCAGCCAGCAGGGGGAGCTCAAAATATTTTGGCTTCACTCCCAGGCGGCGGTTTTTCCGTCCATCTTAATATACAGTCTGGACTTTCACCCAAACAGAAACGTTCAGCCTCTAACACAGGAGGGTAATCTTTAGGGACTACATAGGACTTTTTATTTATTTTATTTCAGGAAGTTTTCATTTAAAATAGTTTACCTTCACACACAGAGTCTCAAACCAAACGTCTCCTCTCTGTCTTGATTCAGATGTTTTCCTTTCACATTCTCACCCCGTGCTCCTCCTCCTATCAGATGTTTGGGATTCTTATTTTTTCATGCCGTTTTTCTCGTCGGCTCTTCGTGTGTGTTTGATTGAAGTGTCGCTGCAGCAGAACTACATTACAGAACGCTGCTTTTTTTACAGTGTACAGTTCCACTAGAGTAGTAGTAACTTTTTTATAATCAAATTTAATATATTATTATTATTGTTATTATTATTATTATCACTTAATTTTGAGTGCTCTTTGAAACTATTATTTATAACACGTGATATTTCTGCAAATGTAAAATTTAGTTTAGCAAAGAACACAATGATAATGATGACTGAAGCGCCATTCTGTCTTTTCATTTCTTTTCATTTATTGCCTTAAAAGGTTTCAGTATTTTTTTATAAGATTGTAGAAATGTATTTACATTTAAAGGTTGTTTTTTTTTCACTTGGGTCACTCTGAGGACACACAGTCACCGTCACCTCTTTGTTACTTTTCAGTCTCAGTTCTGTAGATTGATCACATCTATGCAGTTATCCTTGATATGAAAAAATAGGTGTTACTGATAAAGGACATATCACCAGGGTCTGTGAGCTAAATCTCACCTGCCATATGGAGCAAGGGAATCCATATATGGGCAAAGAGGGCGGAGCCTGGTAAGGAGTTGAGCATCTTGTTTAATGTATTTAATTTGTCAAAGGTGATACAGCTGAGAGCACTGAGTCTTTGGGAGGCTTTGAATTAAAAGTGAAGTCGACATTATGATTTTTATAACGTCATAGACTTTGTCAAGTGAACTTGAACAAAATAAAGCTTTTTTGTAAGTTTGTGAAAAGACACATAGTCTCAGTCTTCTTCATGAAGCATTTTCAAAGATGTTTGCTCGTCGTGACTCGCTGACAGACCTGTCAAAGCAAACTGCATCATAATGTGCTCACATGTCATCCTTTGGACTTGTTTCATGCACTGCAAAATCTGTCTTTATTTTGGATTGGTTCAGTTGTAGTAGGACACAAGTCAGAAACGTGTAACCTGTTGATGTCACTCTGTTTTTGCTCTGAATTAAGTTATGAACCATGACACAGTAGCTTTTGGTTCGGACATATTGGAGCGGACAAATATTTGCAGGTTGTGTTCAACCAATTAAGACAAACCGATGTTAAAACTGATGCTCCTCTGCAGGAGAGTTACGTTAAAGTGATCCGTCCTTAACGGACTAACACATGCAGAAACACACCAGGGTCGTCCTTTAAACACACCTCGTCCTCTATCTGTAGCCTCTTCCTGTGGTGACTGTGTGAAACTCAGAAACACCAGCCAGACCTGATAAGGTGGAAACTGGGGAGCCTCGGCTTCCACATTTCAAAGGGAAACTCGACTTCATTAACTTCTTTCTTTTTGGGGGCGCTTCACTCCTGTGTGAAAACCATTGAGGATCAGAAAAAGGGAGAAATTACACCGTGAAAAAAAAAAGAAAAGACCAAGTGAAGTCAGGTCAGAGATATTCTGACTTTGAAAGTGGCCTGATGCTGGTGTGAAATCGGCTCCGTCAGCTGCAGGCCGACGGCTTAGAAAAGCAAATAATGGGGAAGGAAAAACTAAAAAAAATGATTTCGACCTCATCTCATCTGGGTGAAAGGGTTCAAATTAAAACTGCCCTTATCTCCTCTCACACAGACAATTACTTCATTTCCAGAACGTCATTGTTAGACAGACAAGCCGGCAGTCAGAGCGCTCCGAGTAAATACTCTGTCCTCTAAAAAATGTCCAATCCTAGAGTCATTATAACCAAATTAGCTTAGCGACTGCAATATTTAAGAGTGTACATTTTGTTAATTTGAGTGAAGGAGAGAATAGCTGATGATGATGATGATGATGATAAAGGTGATGATGATGATGGTGGTGTGTCTCAGATGAAGTAAAGCGCAGTTTCTATCCACAATGTTGTATACAATTGCTGGTTTTGTAATGCACTGTAGAACAGTCCCATGGTCCTTTTTTATAGAAATGTTATTTCGATGGTGCATTCTTTTTGTTTGATAAATAAAGTTTTGATACAAAAGCAAAAAAACCTTCTGTCAGATAATTATTGTTGTCCATGTTTCTATCTGCTGTCTGTCACAAAGGTCAATGAAGCATGTGAATGTGATGGAGGCAGACAGTAGATGATCCTGGTGGTGCCCCCTAGAGGCTGCAGTCTGCATGTCATTACAGCTGCATGTGGCGCAAAAGAAACAACACTTCACAAAAAAAACAAAACTCTGCCAATGGTTGAAAGTATGAAAGGATTTTGCCTTGAAATTGGGAAGATTGTATAAACCATGAAAAAAAAAAGGCAAATTTAACAAAATAATCTGGGATTTTCTTTATGTAAGTGCTGGGTTTGAGTAAAGAATCAAAGCAAAGGTTTTTTTTTTATAAAGTAGAAATATCAAATATAGTTAAATTGTCAAAAGATGTAACTTAATTGTCAAGAGTAAAGTATAACTTTCAGTTCAAGTCTGGTATATATGTATTGAGAATTTAACCTTTATTCTCTTTGTGCAAAATGATTCATTCTATCACACATGAACTCTGGACTAAATTCTTTCTAATTTCAGATCGTTTGGCTTTTCACACATGCACCTTACAGACGCAGATGCTCAGTATCTTCTCACACATTTCAAATCCCAAAAGGTGGTAACAAAGTTCATCCTTCCTCATGCTTTTTTCCGTATACAATGCATCAGCAGCAGTATGATGTTTGTGTCCCTGTGTGTGGCTTCACATCGTGTTACAGTGTTGCAGAAGTTCAAGAGTCCCGACTTGTAAACACACAGCAGTAGCTTCACATACACACTTAGATATGCACACACACAGTTCTGCTCAGCCCTGCCACATCACCACTGTCTCACCCCCAGGTCAGGTAAATTACAACTTCACCCTGCTATTCCACCTCTGCTAGTTGTAGTACTTCAGACGATGTAGTAGACCAGGGGTGTCCAAAGTTTTTTTTAGTGAGGGCCAAATACAAAAAAAAATAATTTGGGGCCGGGCCACACACTAGAGGTGACATATTACCACATGAATACTGTGTGTATTTCTAACTCACTTATAATCTGAAGAACATTGCACTCAGTGGGAGCAGTGATACTGTCCTTTGGATTGAAGGATGGCTGACATGTCTGGAGTAAGTTTGGTGGTTGAGACACGAAGGACTTCACAGAGATGGCTATCAGTCATTCTGGTTCTCAGTCTGCTTTTGTTATGACTTAACAGAGAAAATGTTTGTTCACATATGTATGTTGAGCCGAACAGGCTCATCATTCTTTTTGCGTGGCGTCTCATCAGAGGAAACTTGGCATTATCCAAACTCTGATAGAAGTCAGGGAGGGAGAAAAGCTGATGTTGACTCTTCAGAGAATCATCACATTGCATTTCAATCAGTTCTAACTGCAGACTCTCTTCCACTTCTTCTGCATCCACCAGAAAGGGGGTCGAGAACAGCTTGATTTCTTTTTCAATGACAGAAAAATCTTGGAAACGCTGGTTGAATTCTGTCAGGAGAGATGTAATCACAGACACATATTTCTCCTTTTTAGCAGAAAGGTCGGCCTTTGGAATAGCAGACATGATTTCAGACAGCGCAGGGAAGTGTGCAGCATTAAAGCTTCGTAGTTGTGTCTCAAACAGACGGAGCTTTACACAGAAGGCTTTCATGTGCGCATACAGGTGAGGCACCAGCTGTTCTTTGCCTTGTAGGTTCTTGTTCAGTGTATTCAGATGATGAGTAAGATCAACTAAAAAAGCCAGGTCTGACAGCCACAGAGGGTCACTCAGTTCATGAAGAGGTCGGCCCTTTTCTTTCAAAAACTGGTCGATTTCTGATCTCAGCGAGTAAAACCGCTGCAGCACAGAGCCGCGGCTGAGCCAGCGCACATCAGAGTGGTAGAGTACATCCCCGTATTCCGCATCCACGTCAGATAGGAAAGCTTGAAATTCTCTGTGGTACAGTCCTCTAGCGCGAATTATGTTGACAGTTTTCACAACAGTGTTCATCACATCGCCCAGCTGGACAGTCTTGGCACACAGTGCTTCTTGGTGGATTATACAGTGCATCCTAACAGCCTCACCTCCGCTCTCTTTTACCTTGGCGCACACCATCGATGCCATTCCTTTGCGCTCGCCGGTCATGGCCGGAGCTCCATCTGTTGTTACTCCACAGAGCTTTTCCCATTTAAGCCCCATCTTTTCAACGGCCTCCGACACAGCTTCAAAAATGTCTTTACCCGTCGTTGTGCCTTTTAGGCTCATCATATCAAGCAGCTCCTCCGTACAGCAAAAATTATCATCCACTCCCCGCAAAAAAATTAACAGCTGCGCGATGTCTGTGGCATCTGTGCTCTCATCGCATGCTATCGAGTAAAAATCAAAAGCACAAGCTTTGTCTTTCAGCTGAAGTTTCAAGTTAGCTGACAAGTCCTCGATTCTCCGCACCACTGTATTTCTGGACAAGCTCACGTTTTTGAAATCCTGCACTTTTTCCGGGCACATTATTTCTGTGACTTTGATGAGGCACTGCTTTATGAAATCGCCGTCTGAGAACGGTTTGCCGTGCTGGGCAATAAGTTTAGCCACTTCATAGCTTGCTGTTGTGGCGTTTTCCTGTATTTTGTTTGCACGAAAAAAAAGCTGTTGTTGAGCTTGCAGGCTAGCTGCCATTTGCTTGACTTTCTGTGTTCGTTCGGCACCGGTGTACGATGTGTAGCTCTGATGTTTGGTCTCATAGTGCCGACGGACATTATACTCTTTCATCACAGCAACATCTTCCTTGCAAATCAAACAGACACACTTTCCGTTGACTTCTTTGAAGAAATATTCATTTTCCCACCGTGTTTGAAATCTCCTACACTCACTAGCTATTTTGCCCTTCTTCGGTGCTGCCATTTCTGGTGATTCGCGGTATAAGTTTTTCTTTGCTTAATTTTGTTTAGTGGAGAAGCACTGTTTCCGTGGCTGGCTCCATCTAGTGTTGAAACTGAGAAGTGCAACAGATGTGAGCTCAAGCTTCTTGTATGGGCCATATTCAATTATATTTTCAGAATTTGCTGCGGGCCAATAAAAACTGGACCGCGGGCCGCAGTTGGCCGTAGTTTGGACACCCCTGTAGTAGACGATCCAGCCTCTGGAGACAAAGGTCAACCTTCAGAATTGGGGGTGCGTTTGAATTGTCATTTTTTCTTAGGAAGGTTCCTAACTGAGCGAAATGACCCGGAAGCATTTAAGTGGCGGCCATGATAAGAGCTGTTCGAATTCTCTTAAAGTTAAGGAAAGGTGGGTCAGTGCTTCCTTTATAACCTCCTTTAACATAGGATACACTGACTGGACCATCCTTTACCAAAGGAGATGAGATATGACGCCCCACAATTCCTTGCGGCCGCAACATTTAAAGCAAGTCGTGCATCCGACCGTTCGCGGAAATGACCGATGATCGTAAAGTGACACAGATCATGTAAGAGATAAAAGATAAGAGACATTTTTATCAGATGATGTTTTATTCAACATATTTCATTCTCTTAAGAATGCTTTGTGCAGTTGTACATTTGTATGTTTAAAACATTATGTGTAGGTTATATCTTACATAAATGTAACTCTTAATTTCATACAATATGTTGATGTTGATTTCTGAGTGGACAGGAAGCTGATGGTTTCACTTTTCTTACTTGTAGCCTGGTAGTCTATATTTCTTTTATTTCAATCCCAACCTTGTGGTAATCAGGATTATTTCACCGGTAAGAAGCACAGGGGAAAGTTTTTTAGATGCACTTTTTGTAGTCCATTTTCTGAACATTGTAGTTTCAACACGGCAGACCCACGTCATTAACCTCCGCCGGCCCGTCGCATTTAATGACGTCACCTAGTGGGAATGTGGTCGGATTGTCAGAGCAACGAGATCGCCTTTCCCTAAGTCCTTTATGAATTCTCCTAACATCTTTCCTTAACCTCATGACGTTTTCCCCGGGGTTAAGGTAAAGTGGATAGTGAAAGGAGATAGGAGGGACAATTCGAACGCACCCTTGGTCTCAAGACCACTTTTTGAAGGTGTCGTCTCGGAAGGGAAAGCAGTTTTACTCGGTCTTGTCTCAGTCTCAGACTGGGTGCACTCTGGATTTTAAATCAAGACCGGTCAGAACCACTAATTTCTAATGTCATTACTGTGATTAGAAGGAAAACTCCTCTTTTTGTCCGCCGCAACCTTCTCGATTTTATGGTCTAAGTGAGTGACACAAGTTGATGATTTTTAAGTGCTATTTATGGTCTCGGTCTCGCCCTGCCTTTTTCTTGGTCTTGGTCTCAAGATACTCCCTTTGTTTAAGGTGAGGGGAACATGTTTGGATAGAGTCAGGTTGAGAAGATGAAGACATTTGTGTTTTCCCGCTCAGTCCTCCTGCACAGTGTTAGGACATTTTCATGTGTGCAGAGCGTGTGTAAAAGGGGTTTTAATCTAGTAACACATCAATCTGACAAGCGCAGTCATGGCTGGACTGTGACCGCTGTGAACACTAGAGTGACATATGCTTCACAATCGAAGTACACAGAGCTGTCCACGGATGCCAAAAAAACGTGGGTGGAGAGTGGAGATCTTGCCAGCACAGATTGGCTGCAGAGGATTTGTGTCTGCATTCACAATGAGGCCGCTGAGAAAGCCAGGCGTGCATCAAAAGACGCTCAGAAGCAGCCGAAAGAGGGAACAACACCAGGGACATGAAGGGAGAGGAACATATTGTCCTTGGTGGCTGAGCAGATGAGTCCCACTGTTTGCTTTTTTCACAGTCAGAGCACAGCTTTGATAAAGAGCTAACAGCTAACGCTAACCCAATGCAGAGTGCAGTGAATGAAGGCTGGTCTGAGGTCAGACTGACTCTAAACTGATGGAGTAGTGTGGGTGTCTGTTGTGTTAACAGGTTGTACATGGACTATTATTTTAAAAACGTCCGCTGCTCCTGCTGTCTATTATCACAGAAATATTAGAAGATAACAACCTGAGTCTCTTCCAGTTTATTAAACATTTAACCAGTCCTGTTCCCTCATGAAGCTCCATGAAAAGGCATAAAAGTACAGACAATGAGGAGGGAAATAAAAGACAGTAGGTCTACTTTGATATTCTGCAGACAGCCCTGATTCAGGCTTTCATCAGAGAGGGCTTTTATCAGGGAAATAGAAGAGGATGCACTGAGACATGACTTCATTGTAGCCTCTGCATGTGATGATGTGACAGTTTTAAAACGCTGCAGTTCAGACTCAAATTATCAATGAGACATAAACATAAACTATTGACTGTATACTATTATCAACATAGTATCTGTGATGTCATTCATTGGTTTCTGAGGAGGCGTTTTTCAGCTCAACAATGGAGGTCACAATTTTGGAAATGCTGCCCAAAGATGTAATAACGGATGAGCTTAGTAAACACAATCTATCAATCAATATTTCTATAGCGCCAATTCATAAGATCATTCGATGTTATCTCAAGACGCTTAACAAAAGAACATATGGGATAAGATGCAGGAAGGATTTTCCTTTGTATTCTTGGTGTCCACACTTCTTTGCAGCTGAGGTGGAGGCCGTGCATGAGAACAGCGATGGTTTTGGGGGATGACACAGTCAGATGGCGGTGGCTGGGCATCAGGCGGTGGACAATCATCTAAATCAAGGAGTTATTGTGGTGACTAAATATACTTTAATACTTGTTCTTTCAAAGTAACTGCAACTCACTCAAGTAAACTTTTTGGCTACTCTACACTCCTCTGGAAGTATGTGTCGGGTCTTAAAGTTGAGGAGTAGTTGAATCTCTTATTTTTTTTAAACCCTGAACTTTCGGACAGCAGACAGAGGAGTCCTTTGAGAGTTCTGCTGCACTCTGTTTGGTTCCACTGCCTCCTCCTCTGTCGTTCAGTTCTGCTGTCTCCTCTGTATGAAGACTGACGAGCTGCCAGCTGCTGTCTGCGGGCTGACGAGGACGATGAATGAGGCCTGTGTTGAGCCGGTTGTTAGCGGACGACGATGCTGCAGGATAAACTATCTGACAGCTCGTCTCCTTCCTCCATGCTGAGACGTCATCCTCCATCTGCTGCCTGCCATCCTGACAGACGCTGCCAACTCACAAAGTGATTAGATAATAAAAAACACAAATATGCAAAGGCTGGCTGAGGGAGAGAAGATGGAGGGAATATTCATTTCAGACGAGATGAAACATTAACTTCTAAGTGGACAAACCAGGAGGCTGAACAGTCTGTTTTCAAGATAGTTTAGATCGAGGTGAGCTTAGGTTTGGAAGAGTTAAGATTGGGAATCCAGTTTTGTATCGCTGAAAGCACATCACAGTTAAAACAGCTAAAGTTAGCAAAGAGCTAGCAAACTTAGCATTTAGCAGACACAAGTGTTTTTCACAGGAGTTACTGGAGAACACACCGACGGGACTTTTTGTAACTTTCGCACAATGTCATGCAACCATTAGACTGTATAAAAAATGGACAGCGGAATTCCTCGATTCAAGTGAAGCCAAAAGATGTAGAGCTCCCCCCGCAGGCCGGCTCCTCTATGATAACAGATGGGAATCTGTTGGCAAATCTATAAAATTAACTGTCAAACTGTAGATCAGATACATTTTTCTGAAACCTTTTTCTTTAGTTCTAATCATGCCGGTCGTGGTCAAGTCATCTTTTCTCTGAGAATTTTAGTTTTAGTTATTTAATGCTATAAAATCGTGTAAAATGTCATGATTGATAGCTCTGTTGAAGTATATCAAAGACACAAGAGTCACTGAACTTTCCTTAACCGTGAGTGTCTGCTTCTAACTGACTCAAGAATCTGTGCTGTGGACTGAACCCACCTGGGTAAATGTGTGTTAGTTGGCTGACGCGGCAGGACGTCTCTTTCAGCCGATCTCTATTTTGCAGAATCTGGTTCAAAATTTGTGATATGTCAGCACTCGTCACTGAGAAACTCTGGCTTCATTCTGTTCAACTGGAGGCTGGCGCATGCTGTCCATATACATACAGTCTATGCATGCAACTAATAAGAGAAAGATAAATCCCAATGTTCTTTGGTTTCATTTTCTTCTGAACAATTTTTCATTTAAATGAAAAAGTTTCAGAGCTACTTAGTTTGTGCTCCAGCCCCTGCAGACAGAAACCACTTCACAGTCAAATTAATGTTTACTATTTGTAGACCAGAAAATAGTCTGTTAGATACTAAATGTAATTTTACTTTATGAAGACGATCTCTGCATCACAACAAATATTTTCTTTTAGTTAAAGCAGTTCAAACTTTTCGAGGATGGAGCAACTTTAATGGCGATGACATGACAAGGAGTAAGAAACGGTCTGAAGCTGAATCCTTGTTGACTTTTTGTGGGAGGATTATTCACAAAAATATAAAAAAGGCACGCACAAGGAAAGTTTAAGTACTGGGTGCTGGACAAAAAACATCCAAACATAGAAAAAGTACTGAGTCCGCACACAAGAAGCTGCTCCAATTACATTTTTGAGGTCATCTGACAGGTCATGTGATACAAATCCAGGATTATTAACACTCTGTGTTTTTGACTAAAATGTAACAAACGAGAGCAGGGTGTTGTTCCGGTAAAAACTCATTCAGTTATATAAACTGAATGTTATAAATTCATGTATGTTTCGTTTTTTACAAAATACTAAATAAAAGGAGCCTGAAGAACATTTAAAGGCGTGTGTGGGTGTAGTAGAAACCTGTAAAATGCTCACATGGAAACTACACCTAGAAGACAAATAAAAGGTCATATAAAAGCATGCATAAATATTCACATATAAAAGTGCAGAAGTCTAATTTATTCAAAGAAAAATATTTCAAAATGGAAAGAAGCTAGAGATGTTGCTTTGCCATGAGTGATTTCTATTAGTGATACTAAC